ACCTCCTGAATGAAATTTCCTGCGTGTCTGTGTGTCTGGAACCTGCAGCGCGCCCATGACCTGTGCGCAGGGCCAGAACTGTGCAGATCTGACGTCAGGCAGGCGGTCCGGGGCGTCGCGGGATCTCAGGCCGAAACGGGGGGTTTGCTCTTGCCTGCGTTTTCCCTCCCCCGCTTTTCGGATTGGCACCTTTGTTTGTCTGATTGGCGCTTTGTTTGTTTTCCGATTGGGGCCTTCGGACGCACGACCACATGACCAAATGACCAAACTTTCTTCTCCTCCGATTTCCGTTGCGTTCGCTTTCCCCCTCTTTCGCGGCGCAGGTCCGCGGCCACTTGAGGCCTTTGCGTTTTCTGATTGAGCCCCCCGTGTTCCGATTGAGGCCTCTGCGTTTTTTGAATTTGCCCGCGGCGTTTTCCGATTGGGGCCTTCCGTTTTCTGATTCGGGCCTTTGCATTTTACACCCGCGCTTGTCTGATTCGGCCTCACCCAGAAAAACCACGTGAGCATTGTGTTTGCAAATGGGGGGGCTGCCCCCCCCCCCCCCAAACCCCCCCGCTATTTTAAGCCGTGAACGATTGAAGCCCGTCGGCCACCTTTTTCAAAGCATAGTTGCGAGCATTGTGTGCAAAAGGGGGGGGGGGGCTGCGCCCCCCCCCCCACCTTTTTTAGCCGCGCAAGCTTGCTTCAAGTTTCAAAGCATATGAACGATTCAAACCCGTCATGCCACTTGTTTCGAAGCATATGAACGATTGAAACCCATGATACAGCATTATTTCCAAATGGGGGCGGGGATGGGGGGGGGGGGCTGGGCCTCCCCCCAACCCTCCCGCTTTTTTTTGCCGTGCAAGTTTGTTTCAAAGCATATGAATGATTGAAACCCATCATGCGAGCGTTGTGTTTGCAAATGGGGGGGGCTGCGCCCCCGTCAACCCCCCCGTGTCTTCAAGCCTTGAACGTTTTATCAAAGCATATGAACGATTAAAACCTTCACCCATCAGGCCACTTTTTTCAAAGCATATGAACGATTAAAACCCCTGATGCGAGCATTGTGTTTGGAAATGAGAGGGGCTGCGCCCCCCCCCAAAACGACCCCCCCAACCCCCCCCGCTTTTGCCAGTGCAAGCCTTTTTCAAAAGCATATTGAAACCCATCTGCGATCAATAGTGCTTGCAAATGGGGGGGGGGGGGGGGGGGGGGGTGGGGGGGGGGGGGTGCACCCCCCCCACCCCCCCCCAGCTTCTTTAAGCTGCGCAGCTTTTGTCACAGCATAGAAACGATTGAAAGCCATCAGCGAGCATTGGGTGTTTGCCAAATGGGGGGGGGGGGGGGGGGGGCTGTGCCCCCAAACCCCCCCTTGCTTCTTTAAGCCGTGCAAGCTTTTTTCAAAGCACATGAACGATAAAAACCCATCAGGCCACTTTTGCCAAAGCCTAGGAACGATTGAAACCCATGATGCGAGCATTGTGTTTGCCTTTTTTGTAATGCAAGCTTGTTTCAAAGCACATGAACGATTGAAGCCCATGATGCGAGCATTGTGTTTGCAAATGGGGGGGGGGCTGCGCCCCGCCTTCGCCTCAACCCCCTCGTTTTATAAGCCGTGCAAGCTAGCTTCATTCAAAGCATATGCGTCTTTTTGAAACCCATCATGCGAGCACTGTGTTTGCAAATGGGGGGGGGGGGGGCTGCCCCCCCCCCACCCCCCGCCGCTTTGTGAAGCCGTGCAAGGTTGCGAGCAACATTTATAAGAATTCCTACGAAAGGCAATACGCAGCCTATGAAGATATGGAGGGAATGGAGGTTTTCGTAGGAAAAACAAAGAAAATGGACCAGCTCCTATGAAAATATAGAGGGAATGGAGGTTTTTAAGGAAAAACCAAGAAAATCGACCAAATCCTATGAAAGTTAAAAGGGAGTGTAGCCTTTTCCTAGGAAGACCAGAGGACCAGCAGACCAGGGCACCAGGAGACCAGGTGCAGAGGCTATATGTACGCGCAAGGCCTCCCAACTTCGAGGCCTTATACATATTAAATCATAGCAATATGCCTACATCTATATGCGTTTGCGCAGACGCACAAACAGACAAACACACAAACACACACAGATATTGTATATATATATATACATACACACACACACATATATATATATATACATATATGTACATACATATGTATATATATATATATACACATATATAGGTATATGTGTATATACACATAGGTGGAATATATATATATATATATATATACATAGATGGGTAGATAGGCAGGTATGAAAGTAGGTATGTATGCATGTGTATATGTACGTATGTATGAATGAGTATACTGTATACTGTATACATGTATACTTAATGCATGTGCGCAGCTTGCAGCGTGCGGGGCATAGGTCGAGGACGTTCGTGAAGGCGACTTCAACCTGGTCTACAGCCGCATGGTGCTGAGAGGCAGTGGAATTGTGGAGGGCTCCAGATTCCTTATGCTCTTTTTGGGCGCTGAAAACAAGGCGTCTACAAGCGTCCTTGTTATCTAGGCTTTAGGCATCTAATGTTTGGGACCTGGGATTCCGGGTCAGGGATCGAGTGCATTCGTGGACATTCCGGGATCTCAAACCCAAACCCTGAACCCTTGTCCGGGGAGTAATGCTGGAAAGTTGCAAGCTCTCAAAGCTATTGCGAAATGAAGAACTTCCGCTCTTCCCACCAATCGCAACCTCTGCACGCACAACGGAGATCTCTGTGCAAGCGTCCAAGCGTCACGTATTAAGTTGGTGCTCGGACCTTCTTTCCCTTCTTGTGTGCGCATAGAGATCACCCGCTTCCCACTTGACCCCAGGCAGCTTGCAGAATTGCCACACTGCCACACCCATGACCTGGTCGCTGTGAGCATCCATGCCTGAACAGTGTTTACGTCCATGCATACCACAGTCGCCGTGAGCATCCGTGCCTCAACAGTGTTTTCGCTGTGAGCATCCATTTACGTCCATTCATACCACAGTCGCTGTGAGCATCCATGCCTGAACAGTGTTTACGTCCATGCATACCATGCCAAATGTAGATGTAGCACATGGCCCAGGGGGCTGGCGAGAGCAAATCAGTGCCCAAAAAAAGAAAGATTTTGATAAACTCAATATTGGCTTCAGTGTGAGAGATCAGCGTTGAGAGAACTGAGCTGTAGGAAGAGAGATCAGTGTTGAGAGAAGGGGGGGCTGTCAGTCCATCGACTCTGAAGTGTTGCACGCAACACCGGCTCCAAGATCAGGATGTGCATTGACCGTTTTGGGATTTGGGAGTTTGGGAGACAGGGATCTTTGGAATAGCCTCTGCATAGGGCCCCTTGCGCTTTCATATTTTTTGGAACAATGAAGACATGAGAGCTTGCTTGCGTACACTCATGGCCCTTACAGCGTGGCTTCTTGCGGGACCGTGTGAGATTCGAGTCAAAGGTGATTCGGGCAGGTCACGTAAGAATGTTGCTGTAAAGGCACAGTGCCTGACCCCATGGCTGGACACAGATGAGTTGCGCCAAGCAGATGCTCTTGCTCAGCATGTTCTCGGGGTGATTGAGTACCAAGCAGATTTTGCTTATGACACCTCTTGCGTGCTCACAAGTGTTCAGAATGTGCAGAGGCTGCACTGGAAGCTTATGGGTGCTTCAGACAAAGACCTTTGGTTTTTCAAGGTTACGCAGCTTGCAATGTTTGCGCAGCCACTACATGTCCCACGCTTCCTTCCTCATAGCAAGGCGAAAGTTTATGACGTAGTCTCAGAAGATTTCCGCGCAGAGCTTGCCCTCCACTTGGATGAGCGGCCGGAGTGGCTGCAGGAGGACCCTGAGATTGCGTTTATTGTTCCAGCCCGGTTTGCTTATTTGATTTGCCAGCATCGTTTTCGTTCATTTTGTTTGCCATCGCCTTTTGTTCAGGGACAATGGCGAGTGTCTGAGTGGAAGTTGAACACGATGGGCCATCGTCTAGCTGCTGCTTTCCAAGGTCGTCATGCCCCTCTTGTTGCCGCGCAGGAGTCGCGACTTTTCTCTTTAACAAACTGCCAGGATCTTGCAGATGACATTCGTGGAAACATGCTGCGTTTGCCGGAGCAGCAGGCCCATGAAATGAAGTCATGGGTCGCGCAGCTGCAAAACACGAGTGACGACATGGCATTGCCTCGAGCAGCTGATGAGAAGTTCCGGCGTTTGATCGATTTTGTATTTTTCTGCGAGTTGTTGAAAGATGTTTCTGCAGCAAAGGAGGCAATGCGCAGGGCGTTGGAGCTCACCTTTCCAAAGAGCTTGCTGGCAGTTGCGAAGGCTTCCTTGGATTCAGATGTGTCACTTATGCTTTGGCAACGTGCTTTTGCGTGGAGTACACAATTTGTCCAGAAAGTCAAAACAAGCCGCTACATGATGTGGGACTCTTCACCTCAATATTCCCGAGATTATGAGATGATCCGTGTCGTATCTATTTCGCACAGGGATATTCGTCAACTTTTCGCATCAGTCAAAGAGATGTCAAACATGTGGAAACAGGACGGTGGTCTTGACATGCAGCTTTTGCAAAACGAAACTGCGAGCCAACATGCAGAAGAGCAAGATATGTTCCGTTTTGCTGAGGAGGTCCTTTGCCCACACATTTGTCCAGCTGTGTTGCTGGGGTTCGGGGCCACATCTTTGGCGCACAAATACCATACACTGGCACACGCTTTCCGCTTGGAGCAATTTAATGCTGAGAGTCTCCAAGCTTACTGCAAAGAGTTTGTCAGCGTGACCTCAGACTTTGGAGTTGAGCATATGTTGAGTCGCGTAGGTCCGGTTCTCATCAGCACAGAATGCCAGTGGTTCGAGGATGCGGACCCCCAGAGTTTGAAGCAGGTGCTGAAGAATGCTCCAACTGCCTGCTCAGACGTGCAAGACTGCGTGCTCGAAGATGTTGCTCGCGATGACGTGCTGGATCTCGCAGAGGATGCCTTCAGTTCTTTGGATGATGGGTTGCTTGACATGGAGGGCCCAATAGTGGAGCCATTGTTGTTGGACATGAGCGATGACGATGTCGGAGATGCAAGCTTAGATGAAGCAGCTGTAGACCCCGTTCCTCTAGAGGTGGAACAGGGAGATGTTGCGGGAGCAGATCCGGCTATTTTTGAAGACGTCCCTGCTGGGCCAACCATGGAATTTTCGGACATGTTCAGTTTCCCGGGAGTTCATCATGTTCTCGATAATGCAGTCAATGGCTTTGAAGGTGCCATGGAGAATTACAAAGAGTACATAGATATGGCTTCCAAGCTATGCAAGTTCCTTCACAAGACAGAGACGCGTGACATCCTGTTGGCTCGGTGCTTTGGTGATGCTGTAGGACAGCAGTTCCATGACTCGTTCAAGAAGTTTCAGGGAAACATTTTTCCGGGCCGTTGGGGCACGGTAGCTTTCTCGGTGCCCCAGCTGCTGGCACTGGAGCGGGCGCTGCGATGGGGATGGAACAAGGTGCGATATCTGCAGGATGCAAACGCCAGAACTGCCAGTACAACGTGTCTTGTTGAGCACGCAGACTCGGCTATCGAATCTTCCGTTTTCTGGGCATGGCTTTGCATGTTGGACCATCTGGTGTTCATTGTTCGTAAGGCCACTGCGTGGCTGGAATCTTGTCCATGTCATTGGGAGTTGCTACAGCGTGACACTGAAGCGAACCCTATTCCTCCTCGAATAAAAAGACGATTTCGCAGGTGCCCGATGCGTGGGATGCGGGCTCCGGAGCTGTGCAATGGCGAGCTTTTATTGGTCATGGGCTTGGTTTGTGAGCAGACAGGCCTTCAGCTCTTGAACAAGCTTCCCAGGGATATATCGGCCGAGGAGCGGGCGCAGCTGCTTGATGAGTTCAACGCAGGCAGGTCTCATTTGTGTTTTTACCTGGCCATGAAGTTGAGCGCGTTGGAGGAGTGGCCATGGAAGGTTTGCGTGTTGGCCCACACGGATGAGGATGTGGCGCGGCAAGTGTTGGGTGAAGCCCTGGCTAGTGACTGTGGACATGCAAGACTGCAAACACTCAAAGGAGAACTTCGCCCTTTGTGTGCTCGCTGGGCCGCAGGAGAAAGTCTCCACAGCCCCGGAATGGCTGCTCTGTGTACATTCGTGGCTGAGCTGTGCTTCGTCCCGGTGAACGAAAGGCCTGCAGAGGCTTTGCATCGGCAGACGAAGTTACACGGTCGGAATCGTCCGCGGCATACCGTGGGATTTATGTCTTTGAAACAGAGGATGCCAGAACTCAAGCAGCTTCTAACTAGCAGACCCGCTGTTTTGCATGATTTGGCTTCTCTGTGTCACATGGTCCGCAACAATGATCGCTGTGTTTCTACTCTTGGCTTGCATTTGCACCCGTCTGTGCAGCAAGTTCGTGGCAGACGCAACGCATTCCGAGACCCCTTGTTGGCTCAGATTGTGTATCATGCTGATCCAGGCACTCTGTATGCTCTTCCTGTACCCGAGCTTCCCATGGACCCTGGGGAAGGTGGTGATGCCAGGGGCGGCGGTGAAGATGGTGACGATGGTCCTGGCAACCCTCCAGAGCGTGAGGAGGAATGCCCTGCTGATGATTCCAGAGGAGATGAGGACTCACGTGACGGGAATGGTTCGTCTAGTTCCGAGTCTTTATCGGGCCAACCTCCCGGCAACCCTGAAGCGGACCTGTCAAATGCCCGCACAGCAAGCCTGGAGACGTTGGTGAAAACACATGCCTCACAATCCGCCAAACTGCTACAGAAGCTCATGCTGGATCGTTTGGCTGCCATCTTGGCAGAATGCAAGGGTGGCTTTCTTTCCCTTCCTTACACTGCAAAGGCCACGCGCTCTTTAGCCAGCGTGCTGAAACTGCAAAACCAGCAAAAGTATGAGTTGGGTGATGATCTCAATTTGGAGTCCAAGCTGGACATCCGGGCTGGGAGCAACCTTGCAAGTGATGCTACCCTGGCACATCGCAAACAATTTACAGCAGCAGCACGATACTTGATGTTTTTCAAGGTCGTGCGTGTGAACCCGAGAAAGTTGAAACGGGCCAAAGTTGAACATGAGGCCGGCTTCTCCAGCTCGGATGTGGTTGTTGCCCCGCATAAGCTTCACAACATCAATGCTGTGGCCAAGAAAGTTTCTGTGGAAGCCATGGCTTTGCAAAGCGGTGGGTCCATGGCCGGCTGCAGTGTTGTTGTAGATTTTGCTTGCTTGGAAGCAGAGCGTTTAACGCAAGTGAGAACTTGGAGCAAGTCGGATCGATTGGATTATCTCATCAAGCGGGATGTGTTGCCAGAGGCGGAGAAGTGGTCGAAGAACCGCAAGGAAGCACTTTCAATCCTTTTGGCTGAGCTGGTTGAGAATCAGGATGGTGCGCGTGAGAGTTTTTGGCGACTGGCTCGGGAACGGAAAGACATCCTCGCTGTTTTCCAGGGGCTTGGGTGGGTGGTCCAGACTGAAGTCGCTGGAGTTGCATATGGCACACCTTGTCTGCAGGTCTGTGCTTTGGTACTTATGAAGCCAATTCAGACTGTACCTATAACCAAATTATAACCATACTAGGGCACTTAAGGGGCTTATAAGAGGGTTGTAAGCGGAGTGAGAATTGGCAAATAGGTACCCTGAACCTCCAAGTAGGGTAGGTCTGTAGCTAGTGACTTAGCGCTGCTAGCTTTGCACGTTGCCGTCCTGATCAGGGCAAGTCTTGGACATTGACCCCTCTTGGAAAGGAGTGCGTGGATGTGTGCGTTACTTTGACAGCTCCAGAGCCTGCCTTGGAATTGCGAACAGATTGTCCGCCAGAGGAGCTGTCGACGTGGGAGTTGGTTGTATCTCTGGACCGGGCAGGTTTCGGTCATGTGGTGAAAGAGAAAAGCAGCAGGGACCCTGACTTCGATCCAGAGGTTTCAGCAAGCAAGGTGTGGTACACAAAGCCGCAAGCTGTGCAAGTATGTCGAGAATACCTGCTATGTTTGCTTCGTGCCTCTTTCAAAGTGAAGCATTGGCAAGTTGCTGGGTTCTACGCTGCGCTGTTGGCCGGAAAGGAATATGTTCCCAAAAGGAAGGCCATCAAACTTGGTGAGTATGATGAGAACGACTCAGATGCTGGAGCTTTGCCGCCGCGGACGAGGAAGCGTGTTCTAACAGGCCGGAAGCGAGCCCCGGCATCGAAGGTCCCAGAGCCAGCAGATGCCTCGAATGAGTCAGACATGGGCCGTGAAAGAAGCCAAGAGCCAAGCAGCAGCTCTCGACCCCCCGCTCAGCCAGAACCGCCTTTGGCAGGTCCGGTGGCAATGACTGAGGCTGCCCAGGCATCTCTACGCGATGAAGCTGCCAGCGATCCTACATCGAGCTCAAGCAGTAACAGTAGTAGCGACTCTGATTCTGATTCCAGCTCAAGCGAGTCCAGCTCTTCCTCTTCTGATTCCTCTTCAAGTGCGCCGCAGAATGCCGCTCCGGCTCCTACTGAGCCTGCCGGGTCGCGGACAGTCGCGGATTGTCAACCCGAACAATGGTTTTGCTTTTGGCTTCAACCATGTGACGCAAGTGTTCAAAGACTTCGAGCCCATAGGCTGGGAGATGTCGTGCCATCACCCTCTGCACAAAGAAGGGGGGGCCAAATGTAGAAAGAATCTGAAGTCTGTCACCAAGCATCGTGATGAATCGATGACCCTCAGGATGCTGAAAGCTTGGGGTGCTTGGGGCGCTAGAGTTTCAACTCGCAAAGGTCATGAGAAGGTTTGGCAGTGTGTTCTGCAAGCTGCGCAGGACGGAACTTTGCCGGAATCCTTTGCTGATGTTACAGAGTACACGACCGACTCTGGCACAGAAGTGCAAGTTCCGAAGCGTGCTCGTGTGTGACGCGGGCCGTCAAAAATGTTGCCTGTCGAGCGCGAGTCATGTGATCTGACATGTTTGCCATGTCTACACTCAGGACAAAACAAGCAGATGGCCTCTTGTGTCCTGCAGAATGTTTTTGAGAGTGTTTTTTCCTTTTGCGCCTGTTGCTAGACAGTGTGCTGGTGCTTCAGCAGTATTTGTTGTTGGAGCAGCCTTGTGAGCCTGGAAATTAAAATCACCACTGTCGCGCCTTTTCAAAGATGATTTCTCCTGTTTGGAGGCATCTGCTGCCTGCTCCACGCCATGATGGCAGCTTGGTGGTTCCCACGGAGTCCCCGAATTTTCCCCGAATTTTCCCCGAATTTTCCCCGAATATTTCCGGCAGTTTTCAAGGCAAACTCCTCAATTTCCGTGGCTCCCCGAATTCTCCCCGAATTCTCCCCGAATTCTCCCCGAATTCTCCCCGAAATCCCCGGAAAGAGTGTTGATCCTAGGGCTTCGCGTGTCTCTTTTGAGTTTTTTTGGTGTTTTGGTCAGTTTTGGTTGTCTGAACCCACAGATTTTGTTCGATTGTGGATTCATTTTCAAAAGTTCTGTTGGAGCAGATGCCAGTTGGTTGTTTGCTGGCGTCTCTCATGCCGCTGCTGCAGAAATTAGCTGTGGCGGAGATGTTTCAGCATGTTTGGACTCAGGTCATGTGTTTAAGGTTCATTCAGCTCAGCACAGCCCGGAAGTGATTGCCGCCTGTCGATTCCAAAGGCTGCACATGGTTTTTGTAGTGTTTCGCAAGTTCTTGTGATTGCTGGTCTACGTGATATTGAAGTCGAATAAAGTTGTGTTTCTACCTGTCTGGTAACATGTTGCACTGCAGACTCTAGTAGCAAGACATGAACACATAGCTGAGTGGGGAGACAAGAAGAAGCAATCCTTGTATTGCTTGCTTCATGGCTGCGTCAGGGATGCAGGTTTACCATCGCGGTGACTCCTGGGGTCTGGGCGTGGCAGGCTTCATGAGCAAAGCAGACATGTCCAATTGGGATGCAGAGCTGATCTTGCCATTGCTGGAGTCAGGTCATCTGCACAAGGCTCGCAGCATGTTGTCGCGAGGAGTGGTTTACAGCAGCGAGTTTTCGGGCTATGATGCACCCAGGGAGGCCCTTAGAATAGTCACACAGCTGCTGGACCGGTTTTTGCCAAGCACAAATGACAGCGCTGCTCTCCGCACACAGACTCTACATGCTTGTGATGTGGGCTCATTGCAACAAGAGGTTCTGAAACAGCAGTCACGAGATTTCGAGAGCGGGTCGTCATGTGTGTTCGCAAATATTGATCATCGCTTGCCACAGTGGGTGTTGGAATGGATCGAGCCCCGGCAGCAAATTGTGACGCAGGAGTTGCAGCTAAGAGAAATGCAGATGTCTTAGAGTTCTTGCAATCAAACAAAGATGCTATTTTGGATTCCGGCAGCGTGTCTTACTGCTGTTTGCATGATAGGGAGTGCCCTGTATACTTGAAACACAATGGTGCCAAAGCTGGTGCCACTGTGGGGCCTGCGCCTTGTCAACCCTGGTGGCAAGAGAGCGACGCAGAGTGGAGGGAGCATGCGTTGAAAGTCAATGCATCAGGGCTCTGCTGCACTGATTGGACGGTGCTGGGAAAGCGGAGAGGCGAGGCTGGTGCAACAGAGCGTTGGCACCATGTTTGGCAGATTGATCGTGAGAAGGCAGCAGAGCTACTTTGTGAGGATATCTTTTTCGCAGAGTGTGCTGTCAGTTACCCAGTCGAAAAGAAGCAAAAGGACGGCATGGCAGCCAGCCACCATGTTGTCTGGGTCAAAACAAGCCCGCATGAACTAGGGTTCCCAGTCCGCCGCTCGCGATGCTTCAGTGCTGGGTCCTGCTGGGTTGTGCAAGAGTTCTGTTGTGTGGACAGGGCCATCATCCACGCAGGATATCCAGCGTGATTTTGACAACATGTTTGGCAGACCATGCAACTTGACCGGTGATGCATTCTTTTGCGCCTCGCCTTCTGATGTGTGGCAGTGGTGTGAGTCGGTTCTCGCAGCAAGAAAGTACCATCCTCTGACGGCCTTTCGTGATGGTGCAATGTCCTTGGATGAGTTGCTCCCAATGCTGTTGCCAGTGGGAGCTCTGGCTCGCAAGAAGCAGTATGATGACATTAGGGCGGAGAAAGAGTCGCTCGATGGCTCCTTCTTGTGCGACTTGGACCACAATGAAGGCTACGGCCCACAAGCTGGGGCATTGTTTCCCAGCATGGACACACATCCGCATGTTTACTCATACAAGTGCAAGAGGCTGGCTTTGCCGATGGAGTATTTTGCGGCGCAAGGCTTGGACACTTACGAAGAATTGTCAGGCAAGCGGGGGCTTACTCCTTTGCTTCCAATTTTGCAGGCTCTCTCGGATAAAGATTCCCGATTTCTAGCAGGAAATGCCATCCACATGCCTTCATATGTGTGCTGGATGTTGTATGTTCTGAGTCATTGCCGTCGCCGGAGCGATCTCACGCCCATGTGTGCAGCGCTGCCACAAGCTGCGAAGAGATCTCAGGATGAAGCGGATCCAGAAGCTCAGGCCCAGGCACTCAGCGTGCCAAGCCGGCGTGTGCGACGCAAGTGCCAAATTTAGATCGGTCTACTTGGAGACTTCATGGGTGTTTTTCCCAAGTATATCTATAACTGTACTTCTAAGCCCTATCCTGTAGAATCTCTCTGTATACCTGGGATAAAAAGTACTCGTGAGCCACCAAGTAGCGGCTAGCGTTTTGTGAGCTGTGGGACACATGTGCACAGAAGTGTCGCTTGCAAGACATAGCAGCAGCGTGCCTTTCCCATGTCAAAAGAAACTGCGTTCATGTTCAGGTAGACCGCTCCAGACTGATGTTGAACGGGAAACGAAACATGAAGACGGGCGGTGGGAATGCTTGTTCTGCAGGATAGAGGGGTGGTTAGAAGCCGCAAAGATCTTCCTTTTTCAGGCAGGTGGAAGAAAAGAAAAGGCAGATGTTTTTTTGGAGAGGTGGTGGGGGGGGAGGCGGGGTGGTTAAAAAATATCATGATTGGAGGGGTGTGGTGTTCATGATTGGGGAGGTGGACCCCTCAGTGACCCCTACCCCTCCACCTCTAACCCCAAACCCCCGCAACCGACCCCCCCTTGCCCTCACACCCAGAGCGGGGGGGTTAAAAAATATCATGATTGGGGAGGCGGACCCCTACCCCTTCAGCCTGGCCCCAAACCCCCCCAAACCCCCTCCCGCCCCTGCCCACCCAAACCCTGAATTCAAAGTAGGAGGCCACCGAATGCTCATAGAGCTTGATTTGCTTGAGTGACAGCGTTGGGATCTCTGAAGCCATTGGTGTGCATGCCTGCGGGACTTACTCATATTCTATGATGTCTTCCACTGGGTGTTGACACATCGTTGGCCTACGGCTGGGGGTGGGGGGGGGGGGAGGGGGTTGGAGCCAGCTCCACTGATCTTTCAACCTGCTCTGACCCAAGCATGATTCAGCTTTGTGTTCACGGTGATCACGGCACGCAAGATATGGGCTGCGAGCTGTGTGATAGCTACTGCTGTGTGAGGGTGTGTTCGTGTGACATTGTGAACCGCGGACGAGATCAGCGGTAGCTTCTTGTGCTTCAGCATGGACGACATGGATTTTGGGGATACGTTCCAACCCAAGGCCATCTCGCTAGCATTGTCGAGTGGAAAGAGAACACTCGACTCCGGCTCGAGCTATTGTGGAAGCACAACTGCTGGAGGGCGACGTGGCAGGAAGGAGGTACAAAAGATATGCCTCGTGCCAGAGTGCGATGAAATGAAGAAGCCCAACTCGAAATGGTGTCGTCATCATTCTTGCCATGCTGACAATTGCAAGTATGCCGCAAGCAAGAAGAGCGAGGAGCAGAAGCAAGCCGTCCTCGATGGTTTCAAGGATGACAACAAAGCCACTGAGATGATCCTTGCTTGGCAGGAGAAAAACATCGCATCAGGTTTGTTCAAGAATGGTGTCGTCGATTGGGCCGAGTGGAACAGCAAGTTTGGCTTGAGGGTCAGCATCGTCGACACATCCAGGAAGAAACCTTACGAGAAGCTAGAGTTCATCATCAGGCAGAAGAACAAGTTTGGCCGTTCCGATGAGGAGGCCAAAAACATGTGGAACGAAGCCGAGGCAGGCTCATGGAAGCGTGACTACAAGGGCTACAGGGGACAGCTTCGCTTGTGGCTGCCAAAGGGTGAGTTCCAGGACCGGAAAAGGGAGCAGTACATCGATGAGGGCGCGGTGGAGGGCTCCAACCGAAAGAAAGGTGCCAAGGAAGCGGACCGCGATGCGATGCGGCAGCATGTGAACGAGCTCGCGACGAGTCATGGTCACGAGTTTTTTGCAGGTCGCTCCAGTTTGGCTTCCGGCTCGGAAAGGATGCGTTGGGAACATGCTCCCACAGACCGTGATCTGGAGGATGAGCTGGAGGAGGCATGCCCGATTCCCCACGGTGGTCCCCACGAGCGCCGCCTTCTCAAGCGAAGAAACGCAAGGAAGCCCCGACAAACCTGGAGGACTGTGAGAGTGTGTGTGTGTGTGCGGTGTGTTCGTTGTCAGTTTGCTCTGTGTAATGCTTGAGCTGTCGACGTCGTGTGCCCCACCATCTGCTGATGAGGATTCTGATGATGAAGAGGGCTTGCTCAAGGAGAGCAACAAGAAGAAGAGGATCACGAACATCTTTTCTACAAGAGCCGCTCTTCTCAGCAGCCTGGCAGGTAACATGAGTGCCAAGGGCCTTGAGATCACCCACAATGTGGAACAGGCCCTGCTCAAGCTCAAGGACCATGACAACGCCCAAATTGACTTGAGCGACACCGACAAGATTGCCCGCGAGCACTACCTCAAGCGTGTCTATGCCCACTTGAAGGCCGCTCACGAATTTTCTGGTGCGACGATGCCTCCAGGGCTCCATGATCACATCAAGAAGTCGCTGGGCGACAATCCAGAGGTCGCTGCTGGTTCGGCCAAGCAGACAGCGGATGGCCGCCTTGCCATTCCTCCTCATGTCGCCTTGAAGTACCCTCAATTTGCTCGTACATCGCAGCACATGAAAGACTTCATTCAGAAGCTTGAGACCGCTGTCACTGACGAGCAGAGCTTCTACAAGCACAAGCTGATGTGGGCAAGGATGTGGGGATGCACTGTTGAGCTGACATGACTGGCCTTAATGGCCGGAGCAAAGATGATGACAACAATCTTGGGCTCGTATGGACTCGAGGCATTGGCAGCTTTCCGTCGAAAACCGAAATGTTCATGCCGTGCAGTGAGCCATTTTTGATTGAAAACTGCATTGCGTGTGCAGATACCTATGCATTTGCGCAAGCTCTTTGTCCTTTCGAGTCTCATGAAGTTCCAAACTTAAACGGATAAGTCTTGAAACTTGAGAGTCACGAGCTCTAGAGAGGAGAGAGTGAGGGAGAGGAGGGAGAGGGAGAGGATTGTGGCTCAATTCTTGTCAGAGATTCTTGCCCCAGAGATTCAGTTGAAAGCGCTTGGCTCCAAGGATGCTTGGCCCAAACTGAGCGCTCAAGCTGCGGGGTCCAATGCAACGAAACGCTGATGTGTGTGGTCTTTGTGGTGACCCTTCTCCCTTGTTGAGGCTTATGGCTGTCGTATTTGAAACCCCCCCACAAGCCCCGGCACCAACTTAACAGCGTCACGGTACTTGCCTGTGTCGAAAATCTCTCGATAAGACCCTCGCGGCATCTCCTTTGTACCAGGACCTTCAGCTTCACGCACCTGAGAGATAGTTCTCACCCCACTTCTTCCAGCTTCACGGCTTCCAGAAGATTGCTCCATGCGTACCGACGCGTTGGTAGAAACAGCCACATCCGGCGACATTGGCCGGTAATGAACACCGCCCACCAATTGCAGAATTTTGCAGGCCGTCACCTTGTTAACCCCTTTTTCCACCAAATCCTCCACGAAGATATACTCTTGTAGCTCTCTGACATTGGTTACACCAAGCTTGATCATCACGTCACTTACGGGAGGTGTATACACCCACAAGTGTTTGTTACGAGCCATCCAATTTTCCATTGGCTCTTCTGGATTCTGAAGACGTACAGTGGTAGACTCTGCCACCGAATCCTTTTGTACATCTCCATCTGCTCCATCCAGCGTATCACCCTGACCTGCTTTCTTTGACACATTGGTCATTTGCAACGCCTGTGGCGCCGAAGATGATGAAGATTCCGCTCCCCCACTTACCGGTGGTTGGAAGGTGTTCCTGTCGGAAATCTCCAATCCTCTTCCTCTTTGAAACCGAACATGGTTCGCCACATTCGCCAGATGCTTCAATTGAGCCAGTCGCTCTTCAGACATTTCGTCGTGGGAATACTTGCAACCATATCGCACGCGACATTTCCCTTTGAGGTAGTAGTCGAAGCAGCAATGATGGAACCCTGCGTCCCTTATGGCTTTCCGAGAAGCATTGTCCCAGGATCTGCCGGGTTCCCAAGTCCCTTCCAAAACCGCTTTTTCGTCGCGCGAATATCTGCAAGAATTTCCATATTTACAACCTCCTTGGTTGTAATACAGACACATCTGCCTCTTTGGCTCGACTGACACAGACTCACCCTTTGATGCACCTTTACCAAAGTTGTACTTGGCTCTGAAGGCTGAATCCTCCCGCTCCTGCTGTGCCTCATCAACTGTGCCTTCCTCTGTAGGAGGGTCACCAATGTCCCCATCCTCGTCTCCAGCCTTTTGGCTGTTCTTTGGCTCAGTTGGTCCTCCTCCTGGCCAACCTTCACCATGACGACGATGTTCATAGGAACACTCATCCCCATTGCGACACCTTCCCTGATTGAAGAATTTGCACAGCTTGCTGTACCCTGGTGACGCAGTTCTTGGCGTCATGTGAGCCTTCCTATACTGATCTGGATCCATGTGGGCTTCCATTGGCTTGTTTTCCCTCTTACTCATAGATTCAACTGCACCATCAAGCTCCTGCAAAAACCGCTTGGTATCCAGCCAAAGCGCATTCCAAAGTTCATCTTTGCCTTGGCTTAGCAACATTGCCACCGCTTCACCCACGACTGGTCCACTAAATCTCCTTTTCTTACGTGCCAGTTCGTAGAGCGCGTTGTGGTACTGCTTTCGGGAAAAGGTGGTTGTCTTTTCCAAGCCTGCACATTCTGTACCATCGGGCTTCCAACCATCACTTTGCAAGATGTCGTATGCACGCCGAGCTTCAGTGTTCAGGAATGCATGATCTGCGACACACTCCATAACCACGTCTATTGTACGACTCAGCAACGTCCCAGTGATTTTGCCCACATAGGCCTTATCAGCCTTTCCATCCTCCAGAAGAGCTCTATAGATCTTTTCTCCATAGAGTTGCCTTTCCTCTTGTTCTTCTGAGGATAACTCCTGATCAGCAAACCACTCATCGGATTGCTCTTCTTCCCATTTCCAGTCCCATTGACCGTTGGAATTTTGGTACCATTGACCAGCACACCATGAATTTTCCCACCACGCATCCCAGCCGCCGTCTTTCCATTTGCGCTGCGCTGGAGAAGAGTCCTCCTCGTCCTCTTCAAAAACCAGGTAGGAATCTAAAATCACAGTGCCATCATCATCCACCCTCTTCACTGTCGCACAGACAGTGTCACCAATTTTGAAAGAAGGTGTATTTTTCCCTTCTTCAGGAAGCAGCACATTCAGATCACCGTGTTCCAAAAAGGCTCCATATACATTGATGCAACGCACCAGAGCAGTGATCCTATCTCCCGCTTGATAACAATGCTCCCCAGGTGTCACCAAGGCTCCCTCATTGGGCACTTCCTTTGCCTGTTCTTCAGAAACCATCTCCGTGTCATCGGCTCCTGGAACATCCCTTGCTTCCACCTTTGGGTCAAGCTGCTTGTCCTGCTCCTGCACGAGTCCCACAAGGTCATCCACCTTGTGCTCAAGGGGTTCAGGACCATCCTCTTTTCCAGCCAATGGCTTTGCCTCATCTGTTACAGTTCGCTCGGTGTCGACTTCCGGCAAGCTTTCAGACGGCAATACTTCCCCCTTCGGGGAGTGGACCCACCATTGGAGTCTTTTGTCAAACCTTCTGCAGCAGGCAAATTTTCTTCCACTGCAGGGCTGTTGGATTGGTCATCCGCGGTAGGCACATTTTCTTCCACCGCCGGCTCCTTTGGCTCCATGGTTTCCAAAAGAGAATCACCACCATCGTCGGCCACAGCTGCCACATTGGCTCCGGTGTAGCCTTCGCCATTTCGTTCCTCGCTGCTAACTTCAGGCTGCACCAGTGCGTCCACCTGTGAACCTCCGTCGTCAGCTGCTACGGAGACCTGCGCCCCATTGTTGCAGTCATCCGCGGAACGTGACACCATATGCGCCTCAACCCGTGCTTTCTCTGCGCTCCAGGTACTATCTGGCACATTGACCCGCGCTTCATTGGCGCTCCAGGCCTCATCTTTCAGGTCAACCGTATCTCCAGCTATTTCAGAAGCTTCTTTTTTCCCTTGAATGGCAGGATTCTTGGCACCAAACGAAGAGACCTCCTCAGTCGTAACGCACAACTTTTTCCCTCCGTCATCCAAATCTCCAGGACCACCTTCCTGAACGACAGGTACCACATCCACCACTCGCTCTTCTGCAGCCGACACAGTTCCAATCTCCGCATTGGGCATTTTGTCCTAGATCTGGACCCACCGATTCCACCGCTGCCACACCCTCAGAAAGCGCTTCCATTTCTTCCCGATCCAGATGTTCTCCAGCGATGTCTGCTCGGATTCCAGAAATTCCTTCCTCATCAGGAGAACCCGAGGTCTGGGCGTCACCACCAGCCCTAAAACCGCTATCCCCGATAGTACACTATTTACACCGCTGTTTACACTTTCCAAGCTACCCTGTTGTGCCCTGAAAGACTCAGTAGGCGACGAGGACGAGGTAGTACCCAGTGCTGGCTCTTCTTCCACAGGGACAATGCCCATTCCAACACCAGACACCTCACTGTTTCCAGCCATTTCAGTCTTTTTAGGCAACACCCATTGGGTATCTCCAGTGCCCAAGCAGTAAAGATATTCTCTTCCATCCTCATGAAAATGGCGCTCCCACGTCTTCCCATCACAGTCGATGATTTGAAGGTCAGCAGCTTGAGACAATTTGCCTCCACCAACAGCGTATAAGTCTTCTTCTGACTCCTGCCGTATCCTCGCTGCTTCCAACTCCAGGATTTCTCCTTCACTCATCACCATAGCAACAGGAACAACTCCTTCTGCGTCCCCAGTGAAGAGGATACTGCCTTTTGTCGCAGCAACAGGCGCAGTTTCTTCCGCTTCACCTGTCAACAGATCACCACTTTCAGTCGCGATGCTCACTTTATTGCGAGCTCGCTTGGGAACAGGGATAACATCCCCAACCAGCTCTGTCTGGCACTCTTGCTCCACCATCTTTGACGTAGAGGAGCTTATTTTGGCGCTCCTGTTGATTCAGCAGGTTCCGCAGCTCGAAGACAAAGCCCATGTTTGCTCAGAAGGCGTAGCAAAACTACTTCCATCTGGTCTTCCAGTCCTTCCACCACCGGCTTCTCTTCGCCACGCATACCACCAGCATCAACCAGAGCTTCCACATTGGGAACCACTTTTTGACCCATTGCAGACCTTTTGACACCACCTTCACCTTGATCGCCCACATTGGAGCTCGATGATGCCGCACCAGTCTGTAACCAGTTGGTAGCCATTGCTTCAAACTACCACCCTAAAGCCGAAACACAAACCGCAGGGAACCTAATTTGGGCTCATAACCTACGGGGGCAACCGAAAGGGGACCAACCAGGGTATCAACCCTCAACAGTTGCCTGAATGAATTCCCCAGAACGAACCAGAAAGACAAACACACAGGGTTAAAGTTCACCAGGTCAAAGGAAGGGGCACCCTTACACAGGTAGAGGGGCACTAACCCAACCCTCACTCCCAAACACGAACTTTTTTCTTTGGACGGACTGGCCATCCTTGAGCCAGAAAGGTTACCGGGTTCATTGACCCCTTATCCTTCAACACCAACTCTTTTCCACAATACAAACTGCAGCTCCGCATAGGGTTTAGGGTTTAGGATTTAGGGTTTAGGGTTTAGGGTTTAGGGCATTCCCTAACCCCATCCATGAGTTTGGGGATCAGGGCTGTGGTTCTTTCCTATGCTTTC